TGATCTCAGACCCCAGTCCTGGGAGCAGGACTCCCTCTTCCCAGCAGTGTTTGTACTTCCCAGGTGGCAGGAAGAAGCAGAAGCCACAAGCTGGAAATTATGAGCCATTCCAGGGAATTTGTATAGTTCTGGGTGACTGCTGAAATCATCCCTGTTTGGTTCCTTTCCTGTGGCCCTCCTGTGTTCACTTTCTCCCCCTCCTGTATCCAAGGCCTTGGCTACACTGGCAATTCACAGCGCTGCACTTGCTGCGCTCAGGGGTGTGAAAAAACACCCCCCCTGAGCGCAGCGAGTGCAGCGCTGTAAAATTCCCCTCGGAGAGGTGGAGTACTTGCAGCGCTGCGAGAAAGCTCTCGCAGCGCTGGGAGCAGCGCTGTGAATCCGCGAGTGTAGCCAAGGCCCAAGTGTTACCCAGGCACATAAACGCTCTCTCTGGCACACAAACGCTCTCATTGTTTGCAGGGGAAAAGGCATGAGATTAGATGCTAGCTGCTGAAGAGAACAGGACACTTGTTTTTCTGGAGCCCAGGCTGGAGGCTGTATAAAGGAAAGGAAACCCAGGAAGGAGTCGAAGTTAAAACTTCCTCCTTGGTTCCCTTTCTTTATACGGAAATGTTTCCTTTGGAGCCAACTCCAAATCTGAAGCCCAGTAAATTAAGAAAAATTGTCTCTGAGGCCAAACCCCTTTAAAATAGCAAATGTTTTATAGACTGCTGGGTCTGAGCCAGAGTCCGGGGCTGGCTTTCCCGCCTCGCTGAGTCACAGCCACCTGCAGCTGGGACTTTCAAGGAGGAGGGTGGATACGCGTTGCCTTACCCTTCCTTTCTTGACAAATCCCTGTGGGACGGGAAATCATAACTGAGCCCTGGAGTTAGATCCAATGTGCTGGATGCTGATGAAAATGCCCGGAGTGGTTCTATAGGTGGTGAGAAAGAAGAAATCATGAAAATGTCCCCACGTTGTTTTCCTCTGCTCACCGCTGATGGAAATGATCTGACCAGCTTGGCTCTCAGCCCTGCCCGACGTAACTGCAGGCTCTAGTTATCGTCAGCCCTGAAATCTGGTATCCCAAAACCATGGAAGCGGCCCCAACCATTTAAATCCAGAGCTTTGTATTTGTAAATTGTTTTTACCCACCACAAGCAAAGTAGTTGACAAAGGTGTGTCAGCAGCGTCGCCTCCAGTTTACAGATGAAGAAACTGAGGCACAGAGTGGTGATTGCCCCTGGAGCAGAAGGCTGAGGTTGGAACAATGCCCAGTACTCTAAATTCCCAGTTCAGTGCCTCGGTCACTGTACCTCCATTACAATGTCCCATTTCCTGTTGTGCTAGAAGAGACCGGTGGGCCAGCCAGTCTCCTATCCTGACCCCAGCAATGGCCAATATAGCTGATTGCTCCTGCAACAGTATCCCTTGGTAGCTGCACACCACCCAGGTGGAGATCAGCTTCTGCCCTCCCAATTGATGGCCCTAGTGACTGTAGGGGAGAACACTATTCTTATTCGCTTACAGTGAATGTTTAATCCTTTCTTTTAATCAATAAGAATTCTTCCTCTCCCTTGAGACGAAGCCCTTGCTGAAAGATGAAATGATTGCTAAGGAAGATCAGGCAGGTTCAGTCTGCACTGTATCCGCTTTGTGGGGGCTTACATCACCTTCTGCTCCCACTTCTTCCAGTCCCTTATCATTTGATGCAGCACGAAACTCCTACCCTCACAAATAAATAAATAGCATAAAATCAGGCTTTATAGTCTTCTTGCTGCTGTGGAGGGCTATAAAGACAGGAAATGCCATAGCCAGCAGAGCCTGACATTGTCTGCTTCCTGATTCCTGCCTTGGGGTTCATATTTATGTTTATAAACGACACTCCTTGCCTGTTGCACAGCTGCAGGAATGCTTGCTGTCTCCTGTGGCTAAGGATGGCGGTGTTAGCTTCATATGAGAGGGTCGGGGAGGGGTGTGTGCACACACGAGTGTGTGTGTGAGGTTCATATGGCTCTGTCTCTGTGTGTGTTTGCCTTTGTCCCATGAACGAAACGTGACTTGCTCAAGGTTTTCTCATCAAGGAATAAATTTGACAATTATGTTTTTTGTTCTAATTTTTCTATTTCACCAAAGCCTGAAATCTCAGGTCAACTGGCTAGCGGCCACAGCAGAATGGCTCCTAGACACAATATATTCTAGTTACTAGCCATACAGAAGGTAGCTATTAGATGCACAGTATCAGATAGCCTGGCTACTAGCAGCATGCCACAGGCTGGCCAATAGACATGTGACAGACTACTAGGCACAACTGGCTACTGACCATACTATACAGACTGGCTAGCGTAAGACCTTTGGGGCAGGTGGTGTCATTTACTGTTTGTCTAGGACCTAACACAATGGTTGATATATTAGTTAGATGAGGAGGCTAAGGACCATTTCTGTTGGTGAGAGATGAGCTTTTGAGCCACACAGGCTATGTCTACACTACACAGCTTTTAGCGATATGGTTGTGTGGCCACAAAAAACTTCCACCCCCAATGAGTGGCGTTTCACACTGGTACTTGTCCCGGCAAAACTTTTTGTCTTTGGCACGGGAGGGGTTAACACCTCTGAAAGACAAAAGTTTTGTCGTTCAATTGCCAGTGTAGACCTTGCCACAGAGCTCTTCAGGACTGGAAAAGATACTTCCAGCATCCCAGCTAAGTGGGAGGTGGAACAGATTGTTTAGCACCAGTTATTAGCATATATTGCAAGGGACCATTCAAGGTAGAATGGCCCGTTAACACCTCTGCAGTCCTGGGACAAAAAGAGGGGTAGTGAGTTACAGATTGTTGTAATAAACCATAAATCCATTGTTTTTATTAAGACCATGATTTTCAGTGTCTAGCAACGTTATGAATTTAAACTCCCAAGCTCCTTTTTGACAGCGTTACACAGGTTTCCTTTGAGGATGAGGGCTGATAGACATAGAGTGATCACATTCTGAAAAGTGTTCACCCCCAGGGGATAGGGTGTTTTTGTCTTTTATCATTTGCCTGTGTGAGTTCATCCAAGAGCATAGTGATTGTCTGGTTTCACCCGCATAGTGCACTAAATGCTCCAGTAACAATTCTGATTGTGAGTCTTGCTCAGCTACTTTGGAACAATTCTTACATACCAGACAATATGCCCATTTGCAGAGGGTGATAAGGTCACCGTGGGATTTCTGTCAGGCTAGAAAACAGGCATTTGCCATCCTGGCTTTGGGAAGTTGCTGCAGCTAATGTTGCCTACTTAGAAAAACCCTTTCCAAGATGGGCATTGGGCACTGAATTGAAACTGGAGAACAGAGCAGCTGTTTGGGGCTGAGGAGTTGCAGCGATTTACATGAGCCTCTACCAAACCCACATCCATCCCTGTGTCTAGCCTGCTGCTATACTTTGCCAAAATACCAAGGCTTGAAAGTATTAATGAGGAGGTATGTGTGGCCGGGGGGGGGGGGGGTTAAGGAGAAAGGAACAGAGCTGCATCTTTCACTCCTATTGAAAAGTGTTGGACCAGATATGCTTTTTGGAAGGCTTTTGGTTTTCGGAGGCCTGTTATTAAGACTGGCAATTAAATAATCATTTAGGAAAAGGGAAAAGTTCACTTTGAAGGGAAGTAACAGCAAGTGCAGTCTCTGGGAACAGAGGAAATAGTCAGCGAGATGCTAATCCAAACCCTGTCTCATTAAGTGAGATCCTAGCTCTAATTTCTGAGTACCCAATTACAGAGAAGGGGTATTTTCCTGCTGGTGCAATCCACAGATAGGGGAAATCCTCTGTCCTCCAGGAGCTGGGTGCAGCCAGAGCCCCTTATTGGAACTCTCCAGATGCGCAATTGGGACAGGGATCCCAAACCCTGAAGGTCTGCAGAATGAAAACCCAACCCACGGGGTTTTACAAACCTGGACCAGTCCTCCGTCAGTTCACCTGCCTCCAGTTCAAAGGGTATTTTAACGATTCTCCCCTGGCTGGCAAATGGTGCAGTCACTAACACTTGGGTAAAGGGGGAGAGACACACTCCCAGATGAGCAGGGCAGCAGTGCACCACACGAGGTGCCAGGCTCTGGGGTTGGAATTGGGGAGTTAAAGCTTTGACAATTCCCCATGCACAGGTTGGTCCCCAGAGATCCCCTAGAGCTGTGGGGGTGGGGGACGTGACAGGAGTGAGCACCAGTGTGTGTGTGTTTGGGGAGTCTTGTTCCTATAGCTGCTGCCCTTTCCTTTACCGCAGCTCCCTTTGCCCTTCCCCTCTGACCCTGTGCCAGGTCCCAGGTCCCAGTCTCTACCTCCAGCCCCTCTCCCCATTTCCAGGCCTGTGCCCAATCTCCCAGCTCCCCCTGCCAACACCCTGTATCAGCCTGCCCCTGCCCCTCCTCCCCATCACCTTCGCCTCATGTCATCCCCATCCCCCACCCTCCATACACCCTGTGCCATCCCCCTCCCCCCCTCCCGGTGCCATCCCCAACCCCCCATACACCCTGTGCCGTGCCATCCCCCCTCCCCCTCCCCCTCCCCCTCCCCTTGCCACCTCCACCCC